GCACATACTTTTTAACTTTTGCTTGAGTAAAGAGGTCAAATTGATACTTCAACTTTTACCAGAGTGTTTTTAAACTGCAATATCTATACTTCTACTTAAGTAACAAATGTGTGTACTTTTGACACCACTGACTAAAGTAAAAGTCTTTCTCCTGTGTGTTATTAGAAATGAAGACTGAGTGGGATGTGAAGAGCTAGAATGACTAGTTATAAAAAACAAACAGCAATGCTAAGGCCCCTTGAATACAAATAAAAGTCAAGTGCAGACAAAAACAAACATGCCCAGAATCCCACTGACATCTGGAATGTAGCTAAATGTGCATTCTTTTCACAAAATGCTTGTTTTCTTAAGTACCTAACAGTGTGACACACTACTTTAAACATGCTTCTAATCCACCTTTACAGGATCTGCATAACACAGTATCCCTCCAGAACAGACCTATGAGGTAGAAAAATGCGACACTCATTCTTTACATTTAGCGAAATAACACACATGTCAAATACCAAGCCTTAGTTCCCTGCAATCCTGACATGAAAAGGTCAAGCAGGATATTATGTCACAGCCTCAGATTGCCAGACGCTGATAAAGTTGCTCTTCCTGGGAAAGAGAAACATGCGAGAAAAAGATCCTCCTTTTGTCCTCTTCCTTCATCTTTCATCTTGTCCCATCAAGATATGAAAAAGGCTGCCCCAGATAATTCTGACTGCAGCAGGAAACTTCATATAAATGCCACAGAGACTCTTACTCACGCACCATACGAAGTTTTACCCTAAATAAGAAGTTTCACTTCAAAGTCACATAGTAATGCATGACTCTATAACTAGAATCACCACTTAAAATATCAAAAATTCTCATAATAAATGCTCTGAAAAACAGAATGCCACCACTTTTGGCATTTAATTAATCATCTTTAGTTAGTTTAACAGAATTGTTATGTGTCCCTGGTAACATGAAACAACTGTGTTAAAGTAACTACATATGATTAAGTAAATGCCAAAAATGGTTGCATTATTTTTTTCAGTGTGTAAAACCTTTAACAACTACAATAATTGCATAAGCAACTTAACTTGCATAAATGTAAAACTATAAGCCCTAAAACTATTTTGAACCCACATTACTTCATAATTTGGAAGCCCCCCAAAAACGTTTTCCGGGATATCAACAGTTGCCAGTACCTATAACCCATTAACATACGCTTCAACACTTGTTGTGGTCAGGTAATTGGTCCATAAATTAATTCTGGGGGTAGACTGCCAGGAGGCAATTTATAGCTTTCCCACACTTTTAACGGACACTGCTGAGTATGCCCAGTGTGAGTCATTCTTTATAGACTGTCAAGACATTCATTGCTGCGCCTTAGTCTGCATGGGAGCCCATGTGGGTAAATGCTGGTTTAAAGTAAATCCTCGAGGGGGTCCGAATTACTGTTTCCCCCTGGGGATCTCTTTCTCTTCAGGAAGGGATCGGACATGGAAGTGCAGATGGAGCACTCAGGTTTTCATCTGTCTCTGTTTGTGTGAAGAAGTGTTTATGAAGGGTTTATGTGTTTATGTCTGTGTTTAATAAATCGCAGAACATGCACAAACCGGTAAGGGTGTGTGCGGCAGATTTCCTGTCTGGCCTTATTTCCGGTACTCTTGATCCTTAATCTTTGTGTACATTTCTCTGTCTCAGTTTTGTCTGCTGCACAGTGTGTGTGTTATTTATGCACTCTCTAATTCCCACATTCATTGACTCATGAAGCAGAGACCTATCCCTGCTGGCTTTTACAGACAGCCCATCTGGGTTTCATATACACCAACAGAGGTAGCAGGGGTCAAGGGTGAATGTCAAATCTGCTGTGACTAGCTTTCATCCTGATGGAGAGACAGTTTGCATTGTCCTGGACTTCGGCACCAACCCAGTACTTGGTGCTTAACACAGATGTGTAATGTTCCATCTTCAAGTGTCTTGCCAATGTAGGAAGAGTAGTCCTAGAAAAAGGTACTTTGGTTTGCCCAAACCATTTTTGCAAATTCAGTTGCACAATAGATAATGCTCAGTTGAAGTATTTATGAATTAATGGTTACACAGCAAAAATAAGGGGGCAGGATGAGACTGAAGGATCAGCACAGTGTTGTCATTCTCACTCAGTAGCTAGAAGAACTGCAAAGTAAATGCCTCCTTCTGTCAACTTGGTTACTGGGGACTGAAAACATTTTACCAGTTGGCTGTATAAATTTAGTTTGACTGCAATGTATTATAAATGAAATATAATCCATATAACTGAAATAATATATGATTTGATATATGTCTTTATGAAAATTGGGTCTGCTTGTCTAATGTGCCTTGAGATGGTGTTTGCTCTGAATTGGCACTCTATCAAACTGCTGAGGAAGGTACTAATATTCTCTCATTACCTAAAGGAGTGTCCCAAGGCTCTATTTTGGAGCCACTCCTATTTACCATCTATGTAAACAATGTTGGCCAGGATCTTGTGGACAACAATTATCATTTCTGTGCTCATGATACTGTTATCTTCAGCTTTGCAAAAAACCTCTTAGTGCCAGTGTCTCTACATTAGAACATATTTTTAACATCGTCCAACAACTGAATTTGATTAAGTGCAATTAAGAGCAAGTTGATATTCTTCTTGAGAACTAAGAGCATTCTACAAATTTGTCCTCCAATTGTTAATTGATGACAATATTAGTTTTAAAGGGCATGTTGAAAATTTAGTTAGGAAACTGAGAATGAAAATTGGCTTTTATTGTAGAAACAGGCTTTTTTTTTATTTCAATGCAAAAAGGAAACATCTAGCTGCAACATTTACAAACCTTACCCCAGGCTCACACCGACTCCGGTCTTACCGTTGCGGTGCGGTGGGTGCGGCGCCGCAGTGATTCCAAGTCATTAAAAAGACGTAAACCTCTCTCACCGGCTGCTGAGCTGTCCGGCTGCGGTTACCGAGACACTCCGGCGCTGCAGAAAATTCCGCAAGAAAGCTATCCTTGCGGCGTGCCAGAGCCCTCCGCAACAAGCTCTCGCAAATATCCTTATTTGGGCCGTGTTATCGCGTGAAGTTACGTGAACTCAAGTGAACTTCTGTTAAATCTCCGGACCTGTTGCCGGAGCCGCAGAGCCGCACCGCACCGTAGTCAAAAGGGCGGTGTGAGAGGGGGTGTGCGGGAGTTGCGGTCTCCGTCGGCTCGGTAACCGCACCGGAGCCAGTGTGAGCAAGGGGTTATGGATTATGCTGAACTCATTTAAATGAATCCCCCAACCCAACTCAATGCTGGCCAGCATTGGAGAAATTTATACTAAATCATTGGTATATATTCATTTGTAAGGGCTTTATATGTCGACTCCCCTCATATCTGTATGAATATATACAATCCAAAGCAGCTGGACTGTAGTCTTTACAGTGACAGCAATGACTGCTATCTATACCAAATGTCCACACAGAAGCTAAGGTAGCTTTCAGGAAAGGGGGTATGACAGAGGGCAGAGAATTGCAGCAAAGGACCATAGGCCAGATTCAAACCCGGGAGGATTAAGGCTTTCGTACATGGGTCCCGCGCGCTAACCACTGCGCTACCTGCACGCCCTAAATAGACCACTTTAAACTCTTCCCCAGACATCACCTCGGCTGACTCCTGTCAATGTGGAGGAGAAGGGGCTCTGCTCCGAGCCTCTCCTGGATGGCCAAGCTCCTCTCCCTATGGCTAAGGGATTGCCCCGCCACCCTGTGGAGGAAGCTTATTTTATTCGATTATATCTGGGATCTCATTCTTCTGGCCATGATCCAGATTTCAACACCATATGTGAGAGTAGGAAGGTACTATATATTTTTTATTTGCTTGATTTTGAATTCACACGACTTTCAAAGACCAAGACAACTTTCTTCTGCTCCTGATTACATGATAAAAAGAGGAAAGTCAAAAGAAATAAACAACTAAGTAGCTCATGTTTGAAACAGTTAGGGGTAAAACACAAATTTGTCTTTTTGATTAAAAAAAAGGAGAAAAAGTGAGGTACTTGCCAGTGTGATACATAGACAAGTTTTAGAGGGAATGTTTTCTTTTAATACTTACAGCTTAAATTTTACCTGCAGATTTAATTAAAATAAGTATATCATGTTTCCTCAGATTTTTTGGTGGAAGATAATCATGGATTTTTCATGAAACTTGTGGAATTTCGCATGGATAAACAGTCAGAGGTGGAGGCCAGCTGTTGCCTAACCCCAGGAGTCACATGTATTCTCTGGGCTTCAGCCCAAAGAAATAAATGTCGGCCTGTCAATCGTTTTCCGCATGGAATGCCACAATAATGAATTCTTCTTCCTGCATCTGCAGCAGGTTCTGCTTGGGCTTTGTTCTCTCCACAAGCAATGCTTTCGTTTTCAAATCTAATGTAATCTGCAGCCCATAGGGGTGTACACTTTTCTCTGATCTTATGTAGAGGTATGATGGCAATCCTGCTTGGCTTGGGTCTCTGTAGGGAATCCCTCTGTTCTATCTCCCTTGGACGTTGGGCTAATGCAGGGGTAGCCTGCCAGGGGGACAATTGCTGAAAAGAGGAAATGAGAGACCCTCGAGCACACTGTGGAAGTCTATGAAGCAGAGGATAGAGATGAAAGGTTGATTTAGCTTTTTAAAAGCTCCCAGGCAGTAAAATAGAAAGAAAAGGGGCCAAAAATGAGGGGCTGGATTTCAGCAAGTCCAGGCCAAAATAGTGTGCTTCCTCTAGAGTGATTTCATGCATGTGGATGTTTGGGTGGAAAGGCAGTATAGGATGTGGAAATTTTTAGATTCTTGCTTGGAATACAGTAACAGACAGAGCACAGTCAGTGAGAGACTTCTAAACGCTTTGTGTTTGGGATTGTGACATATTGTGTCTGTGGATGCTTGATAAATACTGTTTGTTAGAGAGAGAGAGAGCTAAGAAACTCTGAAAAGCCTGGAGGGGGATTTTCCTCTGAAAGGGAGCGCTTCTCTCCTCCCCCTCCTTAGACTCCTTCCCTCCTTTCCTCCTCTCACCCCCGACACTCAGAGGAGCTGGGAAAGCGAAATAGAAGTGAAAGAGGAGCTGGTGGATCAACAGGCAGTTGAAAAAATGAGCGTCTCTCTGTTTGGCAAACTCAGAGCAGAATGGGGTTGACTCTTGTTTTTCAGTCAAGGCGACTTTCTGTCATCTGGATGTTCTTCAGGAAACCTCTACTGGTGATATACTAAACATGGCAGGTCTCCAAGCACAGAGCCAAGCGGAGCTGTGTGAAGAGGATTATCAACAAGATCCAAAAATGAAGAAACTTTCTGCCTGATAGAGGAAAAGAAATATAAATCCAACAATCATGGTAAAGTAGCATGTAACTTTGCCTGCTGTTTGTGCTTCCTGTCCATTGTTGTTTTCTTCTGAAGTCTGCAAATGCTCCACTGACCCATTAACTCAGAGCCTTTTGTTTTTGTTAGGCGAGTTCTGCAAACCATCTGTAGGAGACTTTTAGTAACCATAAGTTGTTAAGACACCAAAAAAATATATAATAATAAAAATATATATAAATAACTAAATTTTTTGCATTTTCTTTACAAACTTCACATTCTACTAAAGTGTAGAACCTTATCTTATTGTTGCTAGTAAATGGCCTGAACCTATAAAGAGCTTTTTCAAGTCAGGAGACTTGACTAAAGTGCTTTACGCTATATTCAGTCATTCACACCCAGTATTCTGTGGGTATTGAACCTAAAGTTTGCACACTGTTACTGTAATCAAACTTAGTGAAGCCTTTTTGTTTTCTGAGCACAGCTGGTGGGACAGCTCACAGCATCTTCTGTTTTTTAAGTGTTTGCCTGCTGGGAAAGATGGATTTAAACACATTGTTGTTGTTTTTTAGGAGTGTTTTAGATATTTCCATACTTTGAATTAGTTATTAACTGATGTAAAAACTTCAGGAAGTGAGGAATATATTTTTATTAACTAATTTGACTGCTTTGCATGTGTGTATGGCTGATTCAAGGTTCATCATGTGGCTTGTGAAAATGCTGAAATGTCTTTTTGTTTTTATGACTGGTTAGGACTAGTTTAATTCCCATCATAGCACAGCCAGTTTAACAATAACAGGTGATGCAGATAATGGCAAGATTATTCATTCCCCTGTAGTTATTGTAAAGTAAACGAAACAGCTTGGAAAAGATTATAATGTGTCTCACAGAAGTATTGATCCTTCCTGAAGATTTTTTTAACACATTTTACAGAGTTTAAACAGAAACTTTATTGTAATTTATAATGAATAACGATAACGAATAATGATTTTATTAAGTGTATATTACGGGAAAAAATAAAAGAAGCTAGATATCTGACAGGAACTTTAGGAGAGTTGCAGAGATCCGAAGGTGCGAGAACCTTTTGACAGAACAACTTTACTAAAATAGTTGCAAAACTAAGGCCATTGTTGAAAGAAAGCAACAATAAGTTCTCTTTGTTCTGTTATATTAGCTGTGTAGCATGGACAGCAGATAATCAGATAATAAGCATGATTTTTACGTGTGAGGAACAAACTTTACACGTTGACTTTAACAGCTACTATAAAATACGGTGGTGGCAGCATCATGCTGTGGGTACTTTTTTTCATTAGAGACAGGGAAGCTGGTCAATGTTGATGGAGTGAAATGCAGGGCAGTCTTGAAGGATATACTTTTGTAAAATGCTGCAAAAGACTAAGAGAGAAAACTGGATGAGATGTCCAACTTCCAGCAGGACAGTAGAAATCTGTGGAAAGAAAAAAAAGGCTATTCATAGACTTCTCCATCCAATCTAATAGATCTTATGCTGTTTTGGGGAAAAAAAGATGAGCAACATTTCAGTATCTGTGAATTCAGTACAAACTGCACAGAGATGTCTAACAAAACACTAAATAGGCTAAATAAATAGAGATATAGTTAGTACTGAATTTAGTTAAGAGAGCTGAGAACTAAGGGGTACCAAACTTCAAAATTTTATATGAAAAAAATGTTTAAAGCTTGGTGTCATTTTCCATCGACTTCCCATTTATGCACTACTTTGAGATGGTTTGAACATAAGTTTGCGCCAAAACATACTGCTGTTTGTTGTTTATGAAAGAAAATTTTATAAATTCAAGATAAAAACATGGTGAAAATCCCTCTATCTATCTATCATTTTTGTGACTTTCTTTAGTGAAAGCAACATTGGTGTATTTATCTCTGTTCCAATCAAGAGACTCACTAAAAGTTTTGACTGTAGTTCACCTTCCTTTGTATCCATAGCTGTGCACTTGTTTAACCAGCTTTTATTGCCATAGCTCTTTGTTTTACTTAAAACATGAATGATATTTTCCTTTATGGCCACCCTGTTTTACACTCATTTGAACCTGGAGTTTAAATCATCTGATCACTGCTCTGTGGATGAGGAGGAGTTTCTATGTTGGGTAAACACTAAGTGAAGGAACAAAACCCAGATCCCTCTCCCACTTGTGGTCTCTGTATTTGCATTTAGTCAGAGTTTGACATCCATAAACAAAAGTCATTCATTCACTAGCATTACTAAGGTCAAGAACTTTTGTTAACAGAGTAGCATGACTTTTCCTAGGATAGAGATAAATCCAGCTTGGATCAGATTTGCTTTTCCAAATTTAGACTTTATATAACTGTATAAACAACTGAGTGGTATCGGCTTTTTTTGTTTGTTTATGGCTAAATGCTTACATTGGCAGTTACAAGTTAGTAACTGCATGATATTTGTTAGTACCTAACAGAGTATTGGTTTGTGCCAAATGACCTAAGAAATTTGATTTTCTATGTTCCCATACCACTAAATCACAATCAAGTCAGGAGTTTAAAATGGCTGATATCCATAAAATGCAGTAAAAGCTGCAGATAAAACTTTACCAGACTGTACTGTACTGGACAATCTTAAATACTATAAATGTTCCTTAACTGATCTTTGCAACAAAAACATATATATATATATATATATAGTATATATAGCTAAATAACCCACCAGGCTAATGTTCACATGCCAGCCTGAGTTAAGCTATGTGTGTTGATCATTTTGTTTCTAGAATTTACTGTTGCACATGAAAAATGAAAATCACTGAATGGTTTTGCCATCAAAACAAACTTCAAAAAAATCTTTCAGTAAGAAAAATCTGTGAATAATATGGAAAAACACAAATGTTCACGCACTGTGAGGCCAAAAGTGTTTTCAATTCAGTCAGATAGATTGTTCTTTAATCCTTCATGTTAGGCCATGAGTTGCTGTGAGAAAAATCCAAAATGTAATTTGATTTAGAGGGTATAACTTACTTTATAGAGCCACAGCTTGAATCCTTTCTCATAAGACGGGTATTAATTAATTTCTGCTTTGGCCAAAGCAAGTCACTTCTGTCTTTTTAATATAACACCTACTTTGCTTACTCAGGATTTACCAAATATTTGCACAGAGACACTAAAAAATAAAGATACAAAGGCTGACCGAAAAAGCAACCAAAAATATTGATCTGATTGTGTTAGCAGTAAGGAATAAAATAAACACTGAAAAAACATATAAAGATATCAGAAAATCTTCTCCCAATACAGACTTTAATTGATTTTAATGTTGTTTAAAAAAACATACGAAAAAATAAAGTATTATAAACCTTTTTTTCATAAAACTGTTACTTGTTAGTATAATTAGGTGTTAAAGGAGCTAGCGGGAGCCTCACATACCTGCAAGCAGGCTCTATTTAATGGGATTTTACCATTCAAATTAAAGCAAAATGATTGCAGAACATACATTTTAAACTGGTTTCAGTTGTAGTTGGTGTTGGTATTGTTACTAACATAGCAGTTATGAGATAAAAAAAGGGTAGCATAAGGATAAAAAAAAAAACCTTTGGTGTACACATTTATCATCATTTCTTGCATTTACAGAAAATACCTCTATTCCTCTTTCACTCTCTGGCTTGCCTCCAACATGTCCCTCACACACATAGACATTAGATAGCTTCTAAAATTTCTATAATACCCATGACTTCAGTTTTAAACACCTCCCTGATTGCAAAAACAGCTATCATCAATAACAGTCTCTACAGCAGACAGTGTTGTTAGAACAAACCTGGCAATGCTTAAGTATAGTTTATTCTCTGATCAGGTGAAAGATATGATTTTTTTAAACTCTCCCACTGGCTAGTTACTGGAAAATTGAGCTCCTCTGCAAAGTAGCCTGTAAATCTCTGGTAGGACATAGAATTTTTCTATTTTCTTTGTTTTATTTTAAAGTAATAGTAGTCTCTTACTTAATCAATTTTCTTATTACATCTTTATACCTTATTATGTATTTAAAAAAGGAAGATTATAGATATAAAATATGAAAATCTTTACACAGAACATGTCAGTGAAACTTTTGTGACAGTTGAATCATTAAAGCTCCTTTATTGAGCCGCTTGACACATTTGCTAATGGTTTCCTTTGATTGTAATTGACAGGGTTAAATATACACTTTGGAATAGTAATTTTTAAAACATCTGAGTCTAATGTCCTTTTATGGATAAGTAGAACAAATTTAACCTTTAAATGTTGTTTGATCAGAAGCATTATTCCAAACAGAGAAATTGTTTTTTTACTCGTATTTGAACGACTGGGTAACATCCACAGCAGGGATATTTAAGGGTTTTGGAAGGCAGTTTTAACAATTCTAATATCCCACCTGTTACATTGGTTGTGCATAATAAAAGTTTTATAATGGAGAGTAATTTACATTTGTTTACACTGATCACCTCAATATGCTGGTCTCCAACCTCTTGAAATATTTGTTTCATGTGAATTGGCAGACTAGAAACACCTCAAGGGACAGAATAATGAGATGAGCTAGCTTTAAAACCTTTGGCTTTAACTCTGTGCAACGTTTGCATTATACACTCCCGGGGTTTTGGAGATAAAGCTGATTCAGGAGCACACAAAGCAATGGATGTTGAATGAATCTGACCAGCCATTAGCTCAAATCTCGGCGCCAACTAATGCCTGTTTCTGCAAGGTGAGGTTTTTCAGCGTGTGGTACTTAAAAAAAATCCAAGCACAGCATTTACAACAGTTCAATTTGCTATTTTTATTTTATTTTTTTTTACATTATTCTCTTCAGACTTTTTAAAGAAAAGTTATTGAACAGTGTAAGAAGAACTGAAACTCAAATGGCAGCAGAGGACAGTGTAACAAAAAAAAAAAAAAAAAGAAGCAACACTGTGGATGACGCCATAGTCTTCTGTTGCTGGCTTTGTGACCGAAACTAGATTTAGTTTTCTTTTTGTCAAAACTCTGGAGCTGTGAACCGTAAGTGTTTATTTTATTAGTGTGAGAAAAGTGA